GGCTCGGAGCTCGTCTGCCTGGCTGTGTGTTTCCTGGACGGGGCCGCCTGTGGAGCTGGTTGACAGCTGCCTTTTGTATCTATGCTTCTTTTTCTATGTCTGCTTCTGTCTCCTTGAACCCCAGTGGGCTCAGCAGATGGCCGCTCACACTGAGCCTGGTTCTGCTGGAGGTTTCTTCCTGTATATATATATGACTTGGACATGAGTTAGGCCACTAGAGGGCAGGCAGCAGCGCGTTTCCAATGGAGGTTGGGTGTGTGTGTGTGTGTGTGTGTGTGTGGGGGGGGGTAATCAGGGGTGTCAGGGTGTTTTTTTCCTTTTTATGGCGTCACAGAATAAGACGATGACACAGGGAAACGAACAAATTAAAAGCAAAGTTATTTAAATTCCAGGTTTGTAATGTTTGTTTTCAGGGGGAGGAGCAGTTACTGTGGCACTGGCCCCTGTTGGCCCCCGCTGGCCTCTGTTGGCCCCCGCTGGCCTCTGTTGGCCCCCGCTGGCCTCTGTTGGCCCCCGCTGGCCCCTGTTGGCCCCTCACCGCCATGATTTTAGGGTTTTATGATTGTCTTTGAAATATCTGAACATAAAAACAAAAACAAAATGTTTCCATCTTTTGAACAGTAAGCTGATCCTCACTGTGTGATGTTTCTGTGTGTGTGTGTGTGTGTGTTGTGGGGGGGTGCATCACATGACTGCATAAAAAAATGAAATAAAATCACTGTTATTATTTTTAATAATAATTTTCTTTACATTTGTTCCCATGGTGATTGATTGTTTACAGTAAACATGACGTCATAATGCTGCTTCTGATTCCCTGCTCCCACAGATGTTTAGTGACTCTTCTCCTTTGTACCATTTGCAATTAATCTCTTTCAATGATCTCAAAACGACATGGTTTTATTCTCCAGGAGAGGCTCCTCCATCCGAACCCGCCGGAAGGATGCGCTCCATTTGGGCCGCTCCCAGTGCTGCCTGCTGCTGCGACCAGAACCAGGACCTCCGCTGCTGACCTCCAGCTGCATCAGCTGGGCTCGGGGGAACCAGGCCGACCTGGTGAACAGGTGCACGCGGGGACTTGAAGCCTGCGCTGCGCGCGTGCGTCGTGCTGAAGGATTCGGAAGATGAGGGGTTAAACGGCTCTGCGCGCGAGGCGGTGGGTTGGAGGCTGGGCTCACAGCAGCTCAGCAGAACCGGCAGACCTGCAGCGGAACCGCGGATGCCGAACAGCACAGCAGGCAGGGCGGAGCGGAGGGACCGGTCCAACTGAGGGGGGGTTAAAGGAGGAGATGGAGAACCCGGCGGAGAGCCCGAGCAGGGCGGCGGAGTACCTGCAGGAGCTGAACAGGATCATCGACACCCAGCAGGCTCTGCTGGAGAAGCAGAGGGTTCGGATCGAGGAGCTGGAGCTCCAGCTGACGGAGCTGAGCGAGCAGAACGCCCGTCTGAAGGAGCAGCACCAGAGGCACCTGGACACCTGCACCACCCAGCAGGGGGGCCCCAGCATGCTGGGGGCCATCCAGGAGAACCAGGTGCAGCAAAAGTAAGTTACGCACCGCCCGGTTCTGCTGCAGGGATCAGAACCTGCTTCCACCGTTAGATTATTGCAGGGTTGCATGAATTATCGGCCTGTGTGACTCACTGGTTCTAACGGGGGCCAGCAGGGGCCAGCAGGGGCCAGTGCTCCTGGTCCCCGGACTGAAAACATGCTCTACAGATCTGACAGATAATCAAGTCAGTTTCTCTTGAAATGCGTGTATTTGCCTTTGAACATCTAACCAAGGAAAAATGAAGTTATTCCAGGAGCAGAAATCAATCAGATCCTCATCACTCAAATTCAGCCTTTGGAGTGAAACACTAAAACCATGGATAATTAGGATTCATGCTGATAGAAGTTGATTCATCCCTTGGATCAGTTCTAATAGAATTTAGAATCTAATAGAATAGAATTTAAAATCCTCCTTCTCACAT